GGGGATTGCAGTGGTTACGGCGTCTGATCATATACAATCACTAGCCCTTAAACTGCTGGGTCGCAGGTTGTTTTTCTCTTGTTCTTTTGGTACAGTGTATTCTGGTTTTCCTCTACCACCACCAAAACCTGGCACATCCTTAGATAACCATAGCTGTTAGTAGGATGTAAAATATTAACAAACCAAGCTAGTCTCACTGTCTGATCAGTTTGATATTCTCCTCCACAGGAATCGTAGCCAAAGATGACTACAGGCACCACCATATCGTATGTGAGGAGAAGTCCAACCTCAAGACAGAGCTGTTTCTCATGGACCGAACAATTACCAACCAGCCAATCAAAGTCATGGAAGTGCCAGCCCAGTCTTACACATATACAGGTACAGACCCTGGACCGTTTTTCTTGTCCGTTTAAACGCAAATGCGACACAAACGGAACGCAAACGCAAAGGAAACGCAACACAAACGGAACGCAAACGCAACACAAATGCAACTGAAACGCAACAGAAATTCAACACAAACACACACAAACAGTTTTATTAAACACCCTCCTAAAACGCCGTTCATAGTAGACCAATAAAGAATTCAATTTAGATGTACTTACTCGCGGAAGCGTGTCGGTCTCTGACCCTAACTTTGACCTGTATTTACCCATACAGTGCTCGCGTGTTATTTGCACAGCGGCAGATGCAGATGTACTTTTAGGCAACATTTTCCCTGTCAGCACCAAAAAAATAATTTGTAATGATGATTTGTCCGACGGTTTTTGGAGAATATTGGTAATTCGTTTTGAAATGGAATTAAACTTCTAATGGCATCCGTTTGTAACTCAACACTACATTTCATTTAACATCTAATCAGTAAATCTACATGACGCCTAAACACATTCCTTTTTATGAATTGATAAGATTAAAAGTATATTTTATGATGGTGGTTTCTCACTTATCTTTCTTTTTTTTTTATATATATTTTCAAGGTGAAGTTATGGGAATAGTCTTGAAAAATGGTTCTTTGACATCAACAATACATATGGATAAGTCTAGTGGGTATTTTTTTTTTTTTTTTAGTCTCAAATTCTGAATTTGTTGTTAAAAAATATCAATTTGTCGAAAAATGATTAACAACCCAAACTAAATTACTTACGTGTAATTGCTTGTTTTTATTTAAACTAGGCGATAGCAAATGTTCAAAAGGAGATAAAATATGAAACTTGTGTTTGGAAAATATTGGATATGAATATCATCATATTTATAAAACGAGTGAAGTGATGTGTTTGCATAGAGTATTATTCCTGTATTATCTTACAAATCCAACTGAAATGCTGCAAGCAAATTCCGTGTAATTATTTTTTTCTCTCTTAAAATCGTCCTTCTCTACTTATATTTCAAACAGGTATAATTCTTATGATATTCTCTTAAGTGGTATTATTTGATAATTATAATCAGTATTTATATGAATGATATTGAAGCCGGAGCGTAAGTTATAGGGATCTTATCTATACATCTAATTACAACACAACATACATGTATACATTCTATGCACCCTGTACGCTTAATCATATTTTTTGCTGTACTCACAGACTTAGATAATCTAAGTCCGTGCTGTATCTCAAGTTACACATTTTCATTTGTCTGAGTGATGAAAACGTAATCTGAAACCTGAATTACTTATGTCATGATCATTCCCTCCTTAAAACAGCCTTGAACCAAAGTATTTTTATTGCTTTGTATTGACCGTCATTTTGAAAAGTATATTGTACAAACAACACTGATTTCACTATCCTAAACAGTAGTGAATTAATTCCAACTATCATCTGGTCTTTGCTTTTACCTGGCCTTACGTACCTTTATTATTGTTTAAACGTGTGGTCACCCCTGTTACCTGAGTGTGGCTATTGTTATTTTGAAGGTAAAGACCACAAGGTTACTACCTGTGGTTTCAGTCACAGGGACCCGGGAATTTGCTACAGTTGGTTTGTTTGGACCTATCCCGCTGTGTAGTAATATTAGATGTCCGTCTTCTTGTTGTTGTGATAAGGCGTCACACAGTTTAACTTAATCTGAGAATTTAGGAAGTATAAATTAGATGTTTTAGTGGTTAACGGTATTGCTCGAAATAAGTACTGCCCCTCCTTCCAACCGCACCCAAAATTAGATGTATCTTAACCAAAACTTGGGGAGAATGATTACTCCGACATATCAGGATAAGTCCAAACAAACATTAATGTAACTTATTAAATAGCTTATACTACTTTGTATACGTCTCTGATTGAATTTTACTTATCGTTTTAATTTAATTAGGGCCCCGTATCGGAGATACATGTGCCCTATAGTAATCACTCCGTCTGTCCACAAATTTTGTTCCTGGCTGATAACTTTGGTATTTATTGACCAATGTACATGAAACTTGGTCAAGATGTTCAGTTCATAAAAATACACATTGAGGTAAAAAGTCAAGGTCAAAGGTCAAGGTCATTAGGTTCAAAGGTCAAGGTCAAATTTTACATCTTTTCACTGATGAACATTTTGTTATGACATTATGAAGCAAAGTTGATCAGAATTAAACAAGGAGTAAACTGACCAAAGGTCAAGTTCATCGGGTCAGGGGTCAAGGTCAAATTTTGTAGCTTTTCACTAGTGAACATTTCGCTTTGACATTATGAAGCAAAGTTGTTCGAAATTAAACAAAGAGACACGTAAACTGAGGTAAAAAGTTGTGGTCAAAGGTCAAGGTCATGAAATTCAAAGGTCAAGGTCAAATTTGACATTTTTTTCACTGATGAACATTTTGTTATGACATGATGACATAAAGGTGATCAGAATTTAAAGAGTCAACTGACCAAAGGTCAAGGTCATTGGGTCAAAGGTCAAGGTTAAATTTTGTATCTTTCCACTGGTGAACATTTCGTTATGACACTTTGAAGAAATGTTGCTCAGAATTAAACAAGGAGCCAATTGACCAAAGGTCAAGGTCACTTGGTCAAAGGTCAAGGTTAAATTTTGTACCTTTTGCCTGATGAACATTTTGTTATGACATTATGAAGCAATGTTGTTCAGAACTTAACACAGAGTCAACTGACCTTAGTTCCAGGTTACTGGGTCCAAAGGGTCAAGGTCAAGTTTTGTATTTTTCACTGATGAACATTTATGATATGATATGTTATGATATTAAGAAGCAAAGTTGGTCGGAATTAAAGAATAAGGCAACTGACCAAAGATCAGGGTCACTGGTTTAATGGTCAAGGTCATTTGGGTCCAAAGGTCAAAGACAAAGTGGATCTCTGACTTTGACTCTGGCTCTTGATGGAAGAGGTATATAAGGTGAAATAAAACAAATCAAAGCTAACAAATGAGTATTGCACCGGTAATTACATTTCTGTTAGCCCAGCAAATATGGAGGTGGAAGGAAACACATCACATCATAGTACATGTAAAATGTATATTTTGCTTCCTTGCGATTCTTTTTGAAGTCCAAATGTCAAACTTCAAGCTCAGCTATATGGGCAGATTGCTTCTTGATGATTATGTGGGATATAATTGCCACAAGACGGGGCCCTTAGTGACCTGTCAGTGTTCTAGTTGAAATATTAAACAGGGAAAGTATAAAGACGACCACCGTGCACAGGATGGGGGGGTGGGAGTGGGGGGGTGGGGGTAACTTCGGGTATATAAAAATGAAGAATAAAAATTGTGTAACACTTAATGCCCTTTTCATTATGCGTTCGGAAACGTATGGTTGTGAGGTATAGATAACAAAGGACTTCAAGGGATTAGGGGGTTAGATTAGTGTTCTTGAATTTGAAGTTATGCTATAATTATATCTGAATGTGCTTTATGTATTTAATATCAATTTAATTCAATTTTTTTACATCACTAGTACTGTAAAAAAAATAAAAATAAAGTGTGTGGGAGAGGGGTTGAGCGGTCAGTATCTGACAAATGACAGCAACATTTCTTTTAAAATATTTTTCTAACAAACATAATCTGCCACTGTCCTTTTGTATGATAACTTTATGTAACTTCTTTCAGATATACGATTAGCAACTGATTCGTGTGCCAAGAGGTTGAATGAGTTTAGTATTCATTCCGAATTTCAAAAGAACAAATCAAACTATACACTATTTATGTTTCTAGTTGTAACTATTTTATGATAATTTCAGCAAAATCACAATGTAATTCCACGGACTTAGATAGCATCTAATTCCGTGGTAAATCCTAACGTGTGAAGTCATCTTATATCAAAGTCCTTTTGCTAATTTACCTGGATATATAAACCAGAACAGACCGGCGTGTTAGTTACGATGACCATGATCGCTATCAGGGATGACCTTAGCTCAGCGAGAGTGCATTACCCCTCATTGTTACTTCATGTTTAGCCCCCTGGGCATCCTCATTTCAGTAAAGCCAGAGCACACGCCTGTACTGGAAGGTCGTCTACTGAAAGGTCGTAAGGCCGTACGTAATAGCGGACGTAAAACCATCAAAATCAATCTGTATTGGCTCTTATTAAAGTGTACCCTGAACGAAAATAGAACTTAATATATTATTATTCTATATGATCCAAACACAAAAATGTTGAAAACCGCATAAAAACCGGTCATACCGAGATAATGACGTGTTAAATGTACGATGTTCACCTGTCCTCCTAATTGGCATAATCGTAACTCGTGGTGATTTGACCCCTATTGGCTGTGACGTCACAAGTTCAACGCCTGTAGCGGTCGATCCCCATCGAAGGAATAGGCGATTATCAAGAATAGCAATGGTCAGATTCATTAAGCGTCAGATTGTGAATTAAATTTTTTGTATTGTTTTGAGGAATCAGATTATGCTGAAGTTAACATTATGTATATGGTATCCAGCCATATACAATTTGCAAGAATTTCCAGACAGTGAGTTTAATAGAAACCAAACTGAAGACTCTGAATAGGGTAACATAGACTGGTAGCATTGCATGTCCCGATTCTGAGCATTGATGAGATTTTTTTTTCAAATGAACGAGTTTGAGGGAAATTAAACAGAAATAGTCTCAATGATATCGATCAAAGATATTTTTTAATTATAGCTGGAAAGTCAGTTTGCAATCATAATAGCTCACCTGGCCCGAAGGGCGTCCGGCGTCAACTTTTTACTTTAAACAACTTCTTCTCAGTAACCAAAAGGCCTAGGGTGATGATATTTGGCCAAAAGCATGCTTGGATGAAGGGCTACCAAGTTTGTTCAAATAAATGACCTTGACTTATATTCAAGGTCACAGGGGTCAAATATGTTTAAAACCTTTACACAACTTCTTCTGAATAACTGAGAGGCCTAGGGTGCTTAAATTTTGCCATTTACATGCTGGGATGAAGGGCTACCAAGTGTGTTCAAATAAATGACCA